ACAGGGTGTTCCAGGAGGAAAGGTCAATATTCTGGGAGGTGATCGTATCGGTCATTTTAAGCAAAAATGTTCATATGAATATATGTCCTATTACCCACGGTTTCCGAGATAGAGCGACTTGAATGTACGTCTCGTGTATTCACTTTTCTTCTGTATACTTCACTGTACAGGTTCACGGATGAAGGTTGAAGTGTACAGAAGAAAAGTGAATACACGAGACGTACATTCAAGTCGCTCTATCTCCGAAACCGTGTGGAATAGGACATATATTCATATGAACATTTTTGCTTAAAATGACCGATACGATCACCTCCCAGAATATTGACCTTTCCTCCTGGAACACCCTGTGTATATATCTTTATTTAATTAAGGTTTTCCAATTTCAGGTAATTGACGGAGATTCGAACGTCCAAAGACAGATGCGCTGGAGAAAAGGGAGGTCGAACGCCCTAAAACAGGCGCGCTAGGATGGCGGAGAGAGATTCGAACACCCAAGACAGGCGCGCTGGGAGGAGGGGAGGTCGAACGTCCTAAAACAGGCGCGCTGGAACGACGAAGGACGAACGTCCTAGAACAGGCGCGCTCAGTGATAAAGGTCGAGAATTGAAGTGAATTTAAATCAAGATATATGTATGCATGTGCAGATTCTTTCTAACAATATATTTATTTTAATCGTTGTTGCAGACAGTTGCCTAATGCTAAAAGGCGTGAAGGAAGGTGGGTAGATGCGGGTACTTACTGTAGATACTGAAGAATGCTCCAATGATCCGACAATAATTTATTGAACAATTTTTCTTCTTTGTTTCAGGCTCTTTTAAAAGAAGCGCATTCTTACTCCAGAAGAGTCGAATATTACGCAGAGTTACAAGGAGACGCAAAGTTCACTCCACGCACTGACTAAACGTACGATAAATGACTGATAATGCTGATCTTTGAATGACTGATCGTTGATGACTGCCGATCGACAACTGGTATGTTGGAGCGAGAAAGCGCTCGCTTATATGTATATAATTCGGTTGATTTGATACATTTTGTTTACGTTCGGACAAAGGGATTGCTCGTCCTTTCGTCGTCCTTTCCAATGTTTTTCTAAAGTCTACGTGGCATTTCCTATTATTAGAACATGATCTCATTCGGAAAGTATCTCATGTTTGTTAAATCGATAATTAAGTGAATTAAACTAAATTTTCAGTTGCAGTTAAATAAATACTATTGAAATTAAGGACTGAAAATTGTAAAATTTGTATAAATCGTTGTATAATAGAAATAACTGTAAATAATTGAATTTATGTTTGCCACGTGTTCTAAAATCAACATTGGAATGGTTTTTAACATTGTAATCGCGAGATTGTTATTATTATAACGGTGCCATAAGTATAAATAATTATGTATGTAAAGAGTGTAAGAGAAAGTGCAATTTATAAATCCGTTCACACATATATATATATACATATGTATGAAAGATTAAATTATATCGTATGTGTGTTGCAGATCCAGCGTCATTTATATTTTTAATATGTTTGTGAATGTATGATTTGTGTTTAAAAATTTTATATTGTAATGTGTGATTCAATATCGTAGTGCGTATAGAATCTGTTAATTTGTATGTATATATATATATATATGTTTTTGGTATATTTCGAGGACATTTTATAGACCTTATATACATGCATATATTTAGAAGCGGTTAATATTATTTAATCAATATAGCTACTTATAGAAGTTATCTATATCGTTTTTCTCAAAACTATAAATGATTTAACTTGTATGGTATATTTCAAGGACATACAGATATAAACAGGCAATTGATTGATATGAGGACATATACACGTTTTATGTATAGACTGTTATGGGGACATGGATGTATAAAATTGAATTTTTATATGTTTCAATACGATTTGCATCCAGCAATATCACCTTATAGCTATAATTGGTAACTAGGTAAAAATAGCGAATAGGGGACCCTGCCCCAATGACCTTGACCTTGACATATGTTATCAAGGACATAATTCTGAGTAACTTTTTCTTCTAATTTAATCGTCGCTCGTTGCTTATTAAAAAGTTATTAACAAACAAGAATTTGTAAAAATCAAGATTTATATATAATCTGACAATGAAAAACTGGATATTTAAGTTAGTTTACAGAAATAGTCCTACGTATACTACACATATAAACTGAAATAAACACAAGTTTTTACATATATAGGGTCCTGAATTATGTCCTTAATAACATATGTCAAGGTCAAGGTCATTGGGGCTGGGTCCCCTATTCGCTATATTTACCCAACGATAATATTAACGGCTCTTTATTTTCTGTTCTTCCTGACTTGTCATTATACAAAATAAGGTCGCCAAATATGTATCTCCTTAGTTTTTGTGTCAAAAAACTAGGGGTTCTCGGCGACAAACAACACAGAAAAATAAGACCGCCGTTACACCGATCGTAACTGTAAATATGACGTCACCACACGAACGCACGATAATTCGCGCCCGAGCACATCAAGCATGACGCGAGCGATGTTATCGTCATCGGCAGCCTATCGCGTTCGGCGCCGCAGAATCACGACACATCTTCAAATCGATTGGCGCCCGGCTTAGCGCGAGTTCCTCCAACAAAAATATAAAAGGAATCGTCGCAGGTCGAACCGTACCGTAATTCGCTCTCGATTCGCTGTTGTTACAAGCCTCGCGCGTGTGAAACCTTTTGTATATTCTTTTTGTACATATGTGAATATTTAGTCCAGTAAAATAATATCAAAAACACCGAATATCTACAAAACGGATAGACAAGCCAATTTTTTGAGGGTGAGTAGAAGGTCATAGGAGATGCCCGAATTCACAAAGTTTCAACAAAATTTCCCTGTGCGTCGGCGGCCATCTTCAAAATAGGGGTAAGTTTGGATATCTCGGCTCCTATTGGTCGAATCTTTTTCCTATTTTTTAGTTTTGTAGGAAAAAATATTTGCTACAACTTTTGTTTGAGAATTTTTTTAATAGCTGTCAAGGAAAGAAATTTACAACCAAAAAAATGCCGTTAATTTGGGGTTGAACATTTTTATTGACAATTATATTGCCCCCTGTTAGTTTTATCAAAAAAAATGTTCAAATAAAACTTGTACAGGACTCAATTCTCTACAATTTTTGTATACGCCAAAGTTGACTGTGTCTAGTAAATACTATTTTTCGTGGGGAAAATTCGCGGTTTTATTGTGAATTGTCGTACATTAAAACTCTTTTCCGCACCACCACTAAAGTAGAGTTTTAGGCGCATTTTTTTTATGTGGTATCCCCACAAAAAAAAAGAACAAACATTCGACCAATAGAAGTCGAGATATTCAAACTTACCCCTATTTTGAAGATGGCCGCCGACGCACAAGGAAATTTTGTTAGAACTTTGTGAATTCGGGCATCTCCTATGATCTTCTACTCACCCTCAAGAAATTGGCTTGTCTATCCGTTTTGCCATTTTCAGATACTATTTTACTGGACTAATTAGATAGTTGATGAAACGTGACTCCATTTTCATTAAAATCAGTCGATCACTCCAACCTGTGACCTTTATCCTTCACGTCTAAACCTTTCGCGCGCGCTCTCGAACATATATAAAAACGTAAGTAGTATAGGGGCCACTATAGCTAGACACAACAAACTCCCACCACCGACCCCGACCCCCTGCTGTGTGCCTGTCTGGCCACCCTCACCACAGGTACCTATGGAAAAAAGAGGGGACTCGTGGACGTCTACGAGACAATTTTTATTATTTAAAAAAAGGGGGAGGGGATGCGTAGCCCTTCGGCATAGCGGACCCTGCGCTCTGATTGGCTTCCCTATAGTGGCCGGCAATTTGATTGGATGAGGAGCATTGTTTCTGAGTGAGAGGGAAAAACGCGGCTAAATAACACGTGTGTAAGAATCGGCAAGATGGTGGTCGCCGAGAATGGAGACGTCACAAGAATAGAAGGGGTCGTAAAAAGCAAGTGTGTGCAGGTTGCGATTACGATGGTTTTAGAGCTTTATGACGTCACTTGGACGAGGAGAGAAAGGATAGGAAAATAGTAAATGTCTTTATATAAGCGATATAAAATAAAAAATTTTTTTAAATATTCTACTTATGTTTAAATGTAAATAATAATTTCGCAATGTACAAAACTTCTTATGTGACGGAAAATATGCAAATTCGCTGCTATATACATCGATAAAAACGAAAGCCGAGAAAAATTAACGTTCTATTATATATCCATATGGCAACGAACAATGACTATCAATAAACCTACGTTTTAGTAATACAGGCTCGTATACTTTAGTTTCGTCCCGTGTTACGATCTCATGAAACGCGGTGCGACGAATTGCTCTAAAACGTAGGTTTATTGAAGTTCCAGCCAATTCTTCTTTGTTCTCTTCATTTTATCGTACTCTCTCTTTAGTTAGCAATCAATTCCCAATACTATTAAAATTGACTAACCGCGAATTTTCGTAATTTTGGGTTATGCCTTTAACTTTACATGACTCGTGCGTTCGACCGTCTGGTGCGCGTACAACATATGCATAAAATTTCGGACCACCGGACACGAACGCCTCGATATAGCTGCCGCTCCCGTAGCTCTCGAGTTCATCGGTCATATCGCCTAGAAAATTTCCCGTACGTGGTTTATACTCGTTCGGGTCATCGCTGCTCACGTAAATACATGAATCCGTATCATAATACAAAACGCGACGATCTAATCGCTCTAAATAAGAATATAACGTTAAACGAGCTTGGGCCGTCGTATACGCCGCTATCACGACATTAGTCAGCGGGGAGGAAACAACAGCTTCTTGTCGCAATCGCCATGAAACATATATTACCTCATCGTTTACGGGTAATATGTCGGTTATTTCATGCTCGGCACTTGTCAGCAAGGCTATAAAACGTTGAGGCGTTCTCACGACCTCGGTATTAGGTAAATTGGAGCGCTGACCAAATTTGCCCCAAAAAGAATTTAAGCACAGTTTCGCGACAGAACGTAAACCGGGATTCCGCGCGACGTTACGTTTATCAAGAACGATACCTTCGGTTTTCTCATACTCCCGCAGATATCTTTCTTTAGCATCGTCGTCGTTTTCCCCGCATTCGCTCGGCCACCCGCTGGCTTCTTGTTTAAGTTGCAAAAATGTATTTATATACTCGGCGAACAATCCACCTTGACGGGTCGTATGATCGAATTGACTAACTTTATATTGCCAAATCTCACTTACAGCCGTTACGTGATAATCCTTTTCGACGGCCTTGCGTAATTCGCAGGAAACCCACGTACCCTCGAATTCGCGTTCCTTAGCATTGTTATGCGTACAGGCCGATTGTGACAATGTTTCACAGCAACTGCGACATAATGCAAAAAGCAATTTTCCCTGCGCGCGATATGGGAGTACAGGATGAAATAAATCACGCGGTGGAAGTACTTTGCACCGTACTTTGAGACCTTCGATCGTATTAAAATTATAATTCGGCGCCCTCCCGATTAATGCGGAACATTCCTCGCCGACATAAATATCAGGATGACCAATCGGGAAAGCATCTGTTTTCAAAACATTTGGGTACAAGGAGCTTACGTCCACGTATCGTATTTTTTCCATACCTGTAACCTCATAGCGCGTCACAATATTCCCCGTGCGTCCACCGAAAAATGCATCGCGCGGATCGAGCGGAGGCCTTTCCACCATCGGATGGTTCTCGAGATATTCGCGCATTTCGCGATTATCTCGCATATCGCGATCGAAAGAGCACTCCCACTTTTCTATCACAAAGTATTTCCGTTGCCGAAGTCTCCACGAGATTGCGAGAGTTCGCTCGTAACGTGAGTCAATCGTATCCTTGCAATCCGATGTAGAAAGTGGTCTATCGCGATTCATAGGAAAGCAAGACGGGCATCCGTGCCAAAAACATCCGTGAAATTGTAGCACATGACGTTGAGGCGTCTCTGTATCAGGCGTTTCGTAATATCCATCGACGAGCGTGCCGTCGATTGTACGATATTCGCGCGCGCGCCCTACGTGGTTTATAGAATGTCCGAGCTCACGTTCTTTCCATAGCAACCACTGCAGAGCTTTACGGGAATGATTGATTGCTTTTCTGTATCCGCCAGTTGGAATGACCACTATCGTATTTTGTTGCAAAAAGTTCTTCCGAAAAACAGTCATGCACGTCGAAGCAATTGTCATGCATTCCTCGAACGGACATACATTTACACGATCAATAAAAATTTTTCTGAAGGCCATACATGCTTGTCGAAGAATATCAACGTCGGTACGACATTAGCGAATGATCTCACGTTGGAAATCGAACACGGTGTTTTTTTGTCGCATATCAGCATGCCATTCAAGAAAGCGTTCGCGCTCTTCTGATTTCATTGTCTCCGGAGAATAATAATGCGCGCGGCAAAATAACACGTGTGTAAGAATCGGCAAGATGGCGGCCACTGAGAATGGAGACGTCGCGAGAATAGAAGGGGTCGTAAAAAGCAAGTCTGTGCAGGTAGCGATTACGTTGGTTTTAGAGCTTTATGACGTCACTTAGACGAGGAGAGAAAGGATAGGAAAATAGTAAATGTTTTTATATAAGCGATTTAAAATAAAAAATTTTTATTAAATATTATACTTATGTTTAAATGTAAATAATAATTTCGCAATGTACAAAACTTTTTATGTGACGGAAAATATGCAAGTTCGCTGCTATATACATCGATAAAAACGAGAGCCGAGAAAAATTAACGTTCTATTATATATCCATATGGCAACGAACAATGACTATCAATAAACCTACGTTTTAGTAATACAGGCTCGCATACTTTAGTTTCGTCCCGTGTTATGATCTCATGAAACGCGGTGCGACGAATTGCTCTAAAACGTAGATTTATTGAAGTTCCAGCCAATTCTTCTTCGTTCTCTTCCTTTTCTCGTACTCTCTCTTTATTTAGCAATAAATTCCTAATACTATTAAAATTGACTAGCCGCGAATTTTCGTAATTTAGGGTTATGCCTTTAACTTTACATGACTCGTGCGTTCGACCGTCTGCTGCGCGTACAACATATGCATAAAATTTCGGACCACCGGACACGAACGCCTCGATATAGCTGCCGCTCCCGTAGCTCTCGAGTTCATCGGTCATATCGCCTAGAAAATTTCCCGTACGTGGTTTATACTCGTTCGGGTCATCGCTGCTCACGTAAATACATGAATCCGTATCATAATACAAAACGCGACGATCTAATCGCTCTAAATAAGAATATAACGTTAAACGAGCTTGGGCCGTCGTATACGCCGCTATCACGACATTAGTCAGCGGGGAGGAAACAACAGCTTCTTGTCGCAATCGCCATGAAACATATATTACCTCATCGTTTACGGGTAATATGTCGGTTATTTCATGCTCGGCACTTGTCAGCAAGGCTATAAAACGTTGAGGCGTTCTCACGACCTCGGTATTAGGTAAATTGGAGCGCTGACCAAATTTGCCCCAAAAAGAATTTAAGCACAGTTTCGCGACAGAACGTAAACCGGGATTCCGCGCGACGTTACGTTTATCAAGAACGATACCTTCGGTTTTCTCATACTCCCGCAGATATCTTTCTTTAGCATCGTCGTCGTTTTCCCCGCATTCGCTCGGCCACCCGCTGGCTTCTTGTTTAAGTTGCAAAAATGTATTTATATACTCGGCGAACAATCCACCTTGACGGGTCGTATGATCGAATTGACTAACTTTATATTGCCAAATCTCACTTACAGCCGTCACGTGATAACCCTTTTCGACGGCCTTGCGTAATTCGCAGGACACCCACGTGCCCTCGAATTCGCGTTCCTTAGCATTGTTATGCGTACAGGCCGATTGTGACAATGTTTCACAGCAACTGCGACATAATGCAAAAAGCAATTTTCCCTGCGCGCGATATGGGAGTACAGGATGAAATAAATCACGCGGTGGAAGTACTTTGCATCGTATGAGACCTTCGAGCGTATTAAAATTATAATTCGGAGCCCTCCCGATTATTGCGGAACATTCCTCGCCGACATAAATATCAGGATGACCGATAGGGAAAGCACCTGTTTTCAAAACATATGGGTACAAGGAGCATACGTCAACGTATCGTATTTTTTCCATACCTGTAACCTCATAGCGCGTCACAATATTCCCCGTGCGGCCACCGAAAAATGCATCGCGCGGATCGAGCGGAGGCGTTTCCACCATCGGATGGTTCTCGAGAAATTCACGCATTTCGCGATTATCTCGCATATCGCGATCGAAAGAGCACTCCCACTTTTCTATCACAAAGTATTTCCGTTGCCGAAGTCTCCACGAGATTGCGAGAGTTCGCTCGTAACGTGAGTCAATCGTATCCTTGCAATCCGATGTAGAAAGTAGTCTATCGCGATTTATAGGAAAGCAAGACGGGCATCCGTGCCAAAAACATCCGTGAAATTGTAGCACATGACGTTGAGGCGTCTCTGTATCAGGCGTTTCGTAATATCCATCGACGAGCGTGCCGTCGATTGTACGATATTCGCGCGCGCGCGCCCTGCGTGGTTTATAGAATGTCCGAGCTCGCGTTCCTTCCATATCAACCACTGCAGAGCTTTACGGGAATGATTGGTTGCTTTTCTGTATCCGCCAGTTGGAATGACGCCTATCGTATTTTGTTGCAAAAAGTTTTTCCGAAAAACAGTCATGCACGTCGAAGCAATTGTCGTGCATTCCTCGAACGGACATACATTTCCACGATCAATAAAAATTTTTCTGAACGCCATACATGCTTGTCGAAGAATATCAACGTCGGTACGACAATAGCGAATGATCTCACGTTGGAAATCGAACACGGTGTTTTTTTGTCACATATCAGCATGCCATACAAGAAAGCGTTTGCGCTCTTCCGATTTCATTGTCTCCGGAGAATAATAATGCACGTCAGGCAAGGGGCCGACATACGACTGATTTTCGACAGTGTTAAACAAATGCGGAAAAATGCCTTTATCCGACGTATCCTGTAATCCGAAAGCCTTCGGTAACTCGGATAAGCGCATCAGCATATAATTAACATTGTCGATGAATTTCGTATGTCCTACTGTTAACACCACAATCTTTGTACCGTTTAATATTAATTTAGGTTCTAAGTTATTACGATTTTCAACAATATACTTTAAAATAAATTGCGCGTCAAACGCTTTCGCATTATGTGCCATGCAAATGATCTGCTTGAAGTATTTTGTCGTACGCGTTGCAAAATCGACAAATTGTTTCACAGGATCATGTCGAAATACGAACTCTTACCCCGCACCATCGGCATCTCGCGGACAAATTATTTTCTTTCGCGCACGCTTCGCAAATTTGTTGCGCCACGCAAAGAGTGGGAATGTGTTTTTTTTACGGTCGACGTACCTTCGAGTGACTCGTCTTGTCGCGTTTCAAAATCGTAAAATACGAATGCTATACGCTCTTTCTTGCTTGTGCATGCACGCTCGTTTGTCACTTTACCGTCAAATTCTGTGTTTTCTTCTGTGCTTCGCATAATTGTCATCGCTGTAGCCATTGCCGATGATGAAGACGACGGTTTGGTAGAGGAACCATTATCACATCGAAGAGGTTGCATGTAGCACAAATGATTCTCAGGCTTTGGTGAACGGCATAATTTGCAGTAAGAAACACCGCATTCGTGTCTCGCACCAAATTTAACGATGCGACAGCATCCGTCGCAAAACCGCACGACATTGCAGATACTTTCAGATGATTTACCGTCGTACGATTTTACGCTGCGATAACGCTCGAAACACTCCTTACCGAAAAATGCGCTCGTTTGCCGCTTTACCGTCAAATTCTATGCTCTCTTCTGTGCTTCGCATAACTGTCATCGCTGGAGCCATTGCCGATGATGAAGACGACGGTTCGGTAGAGGAGCCATTATCACGTCTAAGAGGTTGCATGTAGCACAAATGATTCTTAGGCTTTGGTGAACGGCATAATTTGCAGTAAGAAACACCGCATTCGTGTCTCGCACCAAATTTAACGATGCGACCGCATCCGTCGCAGAATCGCACGACATTGCAGATACTTTCAGATGATTTACCGTCGTACGATTTTACGCTGCGATGACGCTCGAAACACTTCTTACCGAAAAATGCCCGATTACACGCGTTGCATTTTATACTTTCGGACTGCTTACACGGCGGCACAGTGAAACATCGGGGGCATTTATTTGGACAGCGATGACCTGTTTTATCGTTCCGATAACCTATATTACACGGCTCGCAATAATTCCTACAACCCGCGGCGGCATTTAAATTTACAATAGGGTTATAATGACGTAAACGCTCATAATACATTATATTTAAGCGTAACGAGGGTTCACGGTCGAGAGAAGCAAGTAGCGCGATTCCGTCGTACATCGGTTTCTTACCGCGCCCGAAAGTACTGAAACTATAAACTACAATTGTGATATTATCAACTGCGAGATATCGTTGAAAGCGCTCGATTTCCGGAATTCCACATCACTCTTCAGTTATTGTAACACCAACGTTCCTAGTTAATTGTAATGCGCACTCACGTTGAAGCGGGGATTGCATGTGTCTTATATTATTCCATTTTTCATGTAACTCACCCGTACGTAAGTTACCGCGTTCGCAGTAAATTTGCGCTACTACGAGAGAGCGCGGAAAACATAAATTTTCGGAATTATTTATTGTTACTATTGAGCGCTTCACAACGTCTTCGCTTGTTAATTTAGCACGTCCGCGACCCGAAGGAACCGTGACATTAAAAACACGAATGTTAAAGTGTTCCGCGATATCGAGCCCCCCAGCACTCTGCGCTACTGAACTCACGAGTTTCCAAATATCCTCATACGACATGTCTCTAGCCGGACGAAAGGATAATCCTGCAGGGCCCTGAGATAAATTCGCCGAATGGAAAGACATTCCCACATAATCTCCCGGTTCGCATAAATTTAACGCATACGCGTGAATTTCACGAAACGCATTTTCTAATGCGTGATAAATATTCGAACCTTCACGTATCGGTCGTATCGCGAAACTCACTTCTCTCCCGATTATGCCGAACCTCCTAAATTGTCGCATATTTTCCGTCAATAAATCTACGTAATTAAAATTAATATTGCTGACCCCATGACGTTGTTGCTCCTCTTCCACCTCCGGCTCCTCTTCACCATCTTCTGTCTCCGACGAGGGATTACAGCGTTCTTCACCGACGACTTCCTCTTCATTCTCATCCTCATAAGCTACTTCCTCGTTATTACAGAGCTGCGTTGCTCGTTCTTCAGGAGTCACTTCTTCACTTTGTCCACCACCGCCTCTCTGCACTGTCGAAACAAAAGAAAAATTTAATTATAAATAAAATAAAAATTACATCTA